CGCAGCATACACTCGACCCTTCACAAATAGCCGGATTTCGCGACGGCGCCACAGATGTCTCAAGTTGACAAATGCCAACCGAGCCAAAATATATTGTAAACTAATCACTGCCTTCATACACGATCCACCTCTCATACGCTACGGAAGAGAAATTCTCCTGAGAATTCGTCCCGACTGTGGGACTTAGTTTCTTCTACTGACTTTTCTGTGTTTTTCCATAACCAGCTGTCTTCTTGTGGACACCTTACCGATTATCTTTATTTCTGCTATGACCAATGCTGTCCTGTTGAAACTGTTTATATCCGAACCGATAGGTTTTCCTCCCCCCCCCCTTCTTAAGCGACTTCGTTGTGCTAAACAGACGGCATATATGGCCGGCAAGCGTAACAGTGTCAAAGAGCTCTCTGTTCTAATTAGAGCAGAAGTAAGACGCCTGAGCGGAATGTAAATTGAGACTGTTTTGGGCAATAAAAACTTTCGTGAGATGTGGACTACCTTGAGGAAACTCTGTGGCTCACGCATCAGTTCTTGTCCCAACGTTGAGTTACTTAACCGTCAATTTGCTTCTGTACCTGCATCTAGCTCCCTCCCACCTCCTTTTCCTACCCATGATGCAATTAACCCGGTTTCTCCGGACGAGGTTCCCCAAGTTTTGAGGAGATTCGAGGCCAATAAAGCTCATGGTCCCGATGGATTAGCACCTCATTTATTTAAAGCCTGCGCCGATCAGCTTGCGATACCCATTGCCGAATGGTTTAGTACTTGCTTGTCATCTGGAACGATCCCCAATTGTTGGTCAGCCCGGATCAGAGCAATCCCAAAGAAAGGCTCGTCGAATTACCGTCCTATTGCCTGCACATGTGTTGCTGAAGGCTTTTGAAAATGTTTTGCTGCACCACATGATACCCCACTGTAACGCCCCTGACCCTTTACAATTTGCTTGTAAACCCCATTTATCCACACTTGACGCCGTTGCTCATATTGTTCATTCTGTTGCTTCCGTCTTTGACAATGGCGCTGGTACCACTCGCTTCACTTTTCTTGACTATACGAACGCTTTTGGTTCTCTCGACCAGAGTGTGTTTATTGATCGTGTTTCTGAGTGTAGTCTAACTCCTGAAGTCTTGAATATACTAATCAACTACTTCTCCCGTAGGACTCAGTTTACTTCACTCAATGGTGTACAATCTTCTTCTATTAACATAGAAGCCGGTGTTTTTCAGGGTGCCATTTTGTCCCCTTTTTTGTTTTCCATGTATATACAAAATCTGCCTAATCCCACCAACTTTATTGCTTGTAAGTAAGCTGATGATATTGTGATTGGTTGCCCAGCCCCTATTTCAGACAGTTTTNTTAACGTCAGTAAGTGCATCGAAGTTCCATTTAGTCTTAAAACCGGTCCCCGCTATTTTCCATTAGTCGATAATCTCCCTGATCTTAGAATTAACAATCAAAGCATTCCCAAATCTGCATCTGTTAAATACCTTGATGTCACCCTTACCCATAGCCTGTCCTGGTCTGCTCATGTCATCAACGTTTTCACTAAACTTCGAAAACTGTCCTTCTATGCTTACAGGCTCAGGAAACTGGCCGTAGCGCATAATCTTATTAGTAAATTTGTGATTGCCTGCATTCTTCCACACTGGCAATACTGCTCCCCGATTTTTATCCNNTTTATTTTCAAGATCCCTTAAACTTTTGTCCCACTACAGTGGAGTTGATAAAACTGTTTTAGTTGATTTGTTTATTTCCAAGCTTCTTGACGCTTGTGATACATTCATTGACAGGATAACGCATGATCAAGGGCACTGTCTGCACCAAGATATTGCGAAAGCCCTGTCAATTCCCTGGACACGCTCCAAATATCAACTCCTTCCCACGCAGACTTCCAAATAAATCGAGACAGTGTAATTCCATACCTAGCTCGTTTACTACTAAATCGTCAGCATATCCCCACCCACCTCAGGGAAAAACTCTTGTCCTAATTTTTTCTCTCATTTATTAAAGTGCAGAATTTCTTATACAGTATTTTTTGGTTGCTAATTTCTCACCTATCCACTGTAAAACTCGTAAACTGATGAAAATTCACCCTTTGGGTGCATAAAGCTTTTCTTGACTTTATAACCGCAGCTTTCTCCATCTTCTTACATCTTTCTACCCACCACTTCTCGCGGTTGATGAGCTGGCGTTTGAGGAATTTGTGCACTGTTATATGTGGCATCGGGAAGAAGGGTTTTGCGGGCGTCCAGCAGGGTAGCCGAGGTCTACGAGATGGGCCAAGGTCCGAAGTCGTTATTATCGACATTTGCATAACTTCCTTGATTTGCTTTCAATAGTAGTTGATTCGTTCGGCGGTTTGTTGAACTGAAATGCGATCAGAAAGCTCTGCTTCGAAAGCCGATTTGTAATAATCGTTGACATTGTATCGTAGAAATCCGTTGTCGGTGGCTTCTTTACAGTTGTTTGCCAGGCGTAAGGAGAATTGCGTTCGTAACAGGGCGTGGTCTGTATCCACAGGTTTTGACCAGCAAGACGAATAGTCTTTAATCGATCCCCTCCAGCAGCAACTGATGGTAATTTGGGTCCAGCGCTGTTGGCGGCTTCCAGGTAAGGTGATGTCGTTTCTTGTGCGAGACGTTCGTACCTGACAGAAACAGTTTATAGTCCGCGCAGAGTTGAAGTAGGTGATCTCCATCTTCCGTCCGGTTAGCTGGGGTTGCACGTGGTCCGCCAAGAAGCCATTCTTATTCGTCTAGGGATCCCACTTGGACATTGAAGTCTCCGGATACCACTACGATATCCGCTGATCGAACACTTGGGAGCAATTAAGAAAGGTCTCTGTAGAATCCATCCTTCATTTCTGGTGTGTTGCGATCGGTCAGTGCACACACCGACACGACGACCAAGCATCGGCGCTTCGTTCCGCATCTGTTGACCCGTGCTGTGCTGCGCACAGTCGGCTACTGGATGGAATCCAGCCAAGAAGCAAGCACTCAACCTTGGCACAGCGCAATTCGAACACCAGCAACATCGCGAGCGTCAGATACTGAATCGCCTGATGCACGAAGGATGAAGAACGAAGTTGAGGTTGGATCAGGAGAAGCAGAGAGATGATTGAGGTGGGGTCTTTTATGCGTGTCTAGGAGACACAGTATACATCTAAGTTGGAAGTTTCAAGGGTTCTAGCCAAGGCAGCTTGTTGACTAATTTGAGTGTGCGGACGTTGAACGCGGCTGAGTTAAAAAGGAATTTCGCCCTTAAAAATCTTCTAACTTCTGATTGTCTGGCTTTGCTTGTAAAACGCTGAGTGATATCCGATTGCTCTTATAACCGGAGGCATCTGGGACTGAGAAGAACTAGACCGCATATGGCATACTTCGCGGCAGCCCACACCGACGAAACGGTTTTTAATTCCCGGAATATAGCAGCGACTCACATTGAATGAAAAACGCAGTTTAGCGCAAAAGCTTTTTTTGGTAACTCATCAACTGGCTAATACGTCACATTTTATATCACATCATTTTGTATAGAAAAGAGGAAACAAAACTAATGATTATTCAAATGGGAATTGCTTTCATTGTTTTGTCCCAATTTCATCGGCCGCACAGCAGGCGCCTATCTACACGAGTTCGGGAACATCATACCTCGCTGAACACTGGTGTGATTAAAACTATTAGAAGTAACATCTCGTCGAATCCAATCACACAGTGAGTGTGACTGAAGCACTTTAGCTTCTCTACTGTGTTCGAGGTCGCAGATCACAGCCGACTAAAAATCGCATCCTAGCCACCGCGGAGGCGGTTGGAATTCGTCTAAATAATCCCCCTTGTGCGCCCAAAAACAGTTTGTGAAGTCACTCAACCTACCACGGCCCTCCACCTCCCCCTCCCAATCTCACCTCAAATCACACAATTAACACGGACCAAGCTTAAGTTACGATGGCAGGATCAGCCATATCCGGTTTTGTGAAAGGGATTTTCTCTGGGAACACTAACCAGAGCATTCGACTGAAGAGTATGTCCCACAAAAGTGGGGCGTAGATACAATGCGAGAGTGTGAACAGAGCACCTGTGTGGGAGCTTCTGGAGACCTATCACGCAAGGCCTTTGGGTTTCGGTCAAGTGTATTGTTTTCTTGACCGGTCAGTTGCCCCTCACCGTGTTTATTTGCTGGAGCGACCTCTCAAAGGGCGGGTGTGGATAGAAAGAAGCTAGATGCTCAAACAGCAGGCTTTGAGACTGTGATTTTTTTGGCCTCTATCCGTTGATCTTTCAGGCATGATTGGATCTACGGCTGTGAGAAGCCATCGTATGTAGCTCACAGGGTCATGGAGGCACGCAAGCCATCATACCATGTCAAGGTGCAGTCTCGTTGTTTTGTCAACATTGTATTAAAGCGACTCGCCTGCGTGACAAGTCGTCAGGTTTCACATAAAATGTGCATGTGTGTGAATCCGATAGGTTTTCGGCTTTATCGGGCATGCTTTTGCTCCGTGACAATGTTTTGAAAATAGGCGCTTTTATGGTAGGAAAAATTTTACTTGGTCTCACTCGCATGTTGCACGCCTATTAAAATTGTTTTTCCAAACCAAAAATTGCAATTACTATTATTATGGTATCCCTAGATTATGACCACTCCTGTAGTTACAGTATGGAGCGACTGTGGAGCTGAGTATATGGCCTTTGTGTAAACGGACTATTTGTTGTGCTAAGTGAACCTTAGCGACATTCCAATCGTGAGCCCATATAAACGAAGACCGTTCACACCTCATTGGATAGGATACACGATACGGCACGCTCCACAGTGTTATATATATACATAATCTGATGGAGAACGAGATCCTGTGTTCACTACAAAAGGTTTATGTTGATGAATGCGGAACGAATATTTTGTTAACGGTGAAATATTTATTGTATACTGGACAGTAGTGTGGCAGCTTTTGGGATGATCAAGGCTCGCAACCGGTCTTACAGAAAACTGCTCTCGCCATACAACTTTGGTCAGGAATTTGTAGAGTCCATGATTTTGACAGCAAAGCTAGGAGAAAAACCACTTTCCCAAGAAAGCAATCCTCTTACTCCGCTAGAGGGCTACAGATCGCTAAACTGTGAAATGCCCTCGATCTATTTCGTTTCTATACGGCGCCATCTATTTCTATTTTTCGTTTCAAAAATCGTCTTCATTTAAAAAAGTAACGACCATTTGACTGTGATTGGAGTGCTTTAAATCGTTCGTTTTACATTACACCTTTCTTTTTATTAATTTGTCCATGTAATAAAAACGTCAGGTTGTGCGAAATGCGAATAGAAAGCACTAATTGCTATTGGTGCTAATGCAGCTCCGGAGCTAAATGGCTTTATGTACATGTTGTGTATGGCTTCTTGTCTACATTCGTGAGGACTCTCTTCGAATCCGAGCAGCGAAGGTTTTGGAGACCAGATTCCATGAATCCACATAACGATCCATACAGTTTGCAACACATTTCTGTAAGTCGGAGAGTGATACTAATTTGTAACATACTTGTTCGGAATTATCTAGACTGTTTCCTGGTTTCGTAACACACTTTTTGAAACAAATATCCGACATGTTCTAGTGTATAAATTGTATGCGATCCATTGAAAACAAACTCACCTGAAGCAGGGCTTGTGTAGTGGCTAGCGCTACCTCCTGCTTCATTTGCTCAATCAATTGCTCTTTTTGAGTACTGGTTAATGAGTGCAAGTCCGTTGGAGTAGTTTCCATCTAGAACAGATTAAAAACATTAAAGCTCAATTCAATACTTTAAGTACACAATGGTGTTAGGTAAAAACAATGAAGTTAGTAACAAATTACAACGATTACGGATTTAATTATTTTTTATAAAGATCGGTATACCACGAGTCTTTCACACAGTGTAGTATAATACACCCGGATGCGGTAAAAAAAAGAGAAAGGCTGAAGCAAGTCGTGTGCATCCTTTGAGAAAAACACACTGAGACTTTGGACGGTGAAGCGTACGATGGGGTACTGGGCGGTACGGGAGAGTGGTATCTATGAGCGCAGCTTCGGTCGGGTCCGAGTAACACAATTCCCATAAAGGGGAAAGTGGTGAGATAAACTATTCGTTCAGAGAGAAAAAAGATTATAGTTTCAGTTTTCAGTTT